ATGAATTCTGTGCCTCAGGAAAAAAAGTATTGCCAAATCCAAGAGATATTAAGCATTAAGGAAGCATCTCTTCAAAATGATTCTGGGTCAGATACGACTTTTTTAAAACCATATTTAGCATCCACGTCTAATGTACCTGGGATCCTAAGATTTGCAGAGGGGGGGGGAAATCTTTATATTTTACTTTTCAAGGGCGGGGGGGGGGGAGGCCTCAGAAAAGCCCTGTGAGTTCTGAGGACATCTGGTGACCACCAAAAGCTGAGTTGGAAGGGGATGAAGACTCCTCAAGAAGGGCTGTCTACAGAAACATTCCATATATATCTCTATTTCTCACATTCCTTAAGAATCTGAATTTCACCAACCTTGTCCATTTCAATTCCACCCTGAAACAGTAAGTGTGGTGCAGGGAATCCTGCCCAGTGTTGTTAGGTATCTTTCCCCCCTCCGTCCATTTCAAAGACCACGCAAGGTCAGTACAGTTGGTGTGAGCGCAGTTGGTGAGCCGCTGTGGAGAACTGAACAAATGGGTTTTCCATGACCTTCTCAGTTTCACCAGAGACTGAGGAGGCTGGCCATGGGGCTGGCTATGTAGAAAGTGCGTGTGTGTATGTGTGCGCACGCATATGTTTGTGTGTGTGTGTGTGAGTGAGAGAGAGAGACCACGTGAGCAGTAATGAGTTTGCAGGATGGATACTTAACTGCACGGTGGGGCCTCATTTCTAGCCTACGTAACTGAAAGTATCATTTGTCCTGCATCAAGTTTATTTATTTATTCACTTGTTTGTTTATTACATTTATTTCCTCCAGCGATATCATGTGAGCAGGCACAGCACTTCCCCTCCCTCTTTTATCCTTGCCGGCAGTTCAAGGTCAAGTAGGGTGACGGCCTCGGGGAGAACACAGGCCTCTCCAGTCCAGGCGTCTCCCCAGTGCACGGCACTACCTCCAGGGACAGAGCAGCTACAAATTGACACCCACTTTTATAGAATCACAGAAAAATGAAGTTGGAAGGGGCCTACAAGGCCATCCAGTCCAACCCCCTGCCCAAGGCAGGGATACAATCAAAGCAGATCTGCCAGGGGATTATCTAATTTTTTCTTGAATGCCTCAACTGGTTCCACTGTCGTACTGCTCTAACAGTTGGGAAGTTTTTCGTGATATTTAACCAAAATCTGGCTTCCTTTTTTACTTGAGCCATTATTATGCATCCTGTTCTCTGGGATGATCGAGAACAGATTCTGCCCCTCCTCTGTAGGACAGCCTTCCAAATATTTGAAAAGTGCTATCATATCCCCCCCCCCCAGCCTTCTTTTCTCAAGGCTAAACATGCCCAGTTCTTTCAGCCTTTCCTGAAAGGGCTTGGTTTTCAGCCCCCTGATCCTCCTTGTTGCTTCTCTGCATTTGCTCCAGTATTTAGCATCCTTCTTGAAGTGGGGTTTCCAGAACTGGACACAAAACTCAAGGTGAGGCCTAAGCACTGCCAAATAGAAGAGAACTAGCACCTCGCAGGATCTGGACACTACACTTCTATTAATGCAGCCTAAAATAGCATTGGCCCTTTTTTGCAGCCACATCACACTGTTGGCTCATATTCAGCTTGTGATCTAGGATGATTCCAAGATCCTTCTCCCTTGTTGTTTTGCTGAGCCAGGTATTCCCCATCTTGCAACTGTGCAATTGGTTTCTTTTTCGGAGGTGCAGGACTTTGGACTTATCCCTGTTGAATTTTATTCTGTTGCTTTCAGCCCAGGGCTCCATCCTATCAAGGTCATTTTGAATTTAGTTTCTGTCTTCTAGCGTATTCAGATATGCCCCCCCCCCCAATTTGGTATCACCTGCATAGTAAGTAAGTAAGTAAGTAAACTCCATTTCAAAAGGCCTGCTTCTGAGCAAACAGACGTGGAAAGCAGGAGAATCAGAACTTGGGAGCATGTCTCGTTAATTGAACAGGAGGGAGGGTTGCGGTTCTGGAAAAGAAACATGGGAACCCTTTACCAACGTGTTCTTACACACACACACACACACACACACACACACACACACACACACACACACACAAACACACACACACACACACACACACAAAACCAGAGCATGCCATGAACACCCCGGCACATTGGGGGACCCCTTACAGGATGACCACCGAGTCTGTGGCTTTTTTCAACAGGATTCAGGCCAAGGGGTTTTAATTCAAACACAAGGTTCTCCGTGCAAAACAGCAGCAACAAACGGACTCTTCTGTAATTCTCCTGCAATGCCAAAAATCCTGTTGAAAAATTCTGAATGTTTTTTTTTTTTTTTTTTTTTTTAATATTTGAAAAATCTCACAAAACATACCTTGTCTTCGGTGCTGGCTTTCTTGGAAACAGTGGTGAAATAAGTGACATTTGACTAGGGCAGACAGACAGACAGACATCACAAATACATGCACCGGGCACACATTTATTCCTGATCTGTGAACCATCATCCACCCTGACCAAGTCCAGCCAAAGTAAAGAGAGAGATATAGGCGCCTCACCCAGCTGCCATCTTTTGGATGATTTTCTGGCACAATCCTGGTGAAGGAGTGGAAGGTCACAGAGCGCAGTCAATACAGGGCATGGCGGGTAGAGTGGAGGATTTTGCCTAACAGGCCCTCTTCTAAAAAATCAGAGGATTCCTAGAGCTGGAAGGGGCCCATCAGGT